TGGAGATTCTTTTCACCCTGCACATTCAGTCCGCCGACGCGACAGCGTTTACGGGGCCGTTCCAGGTGCAGAAGACATCCATCAATGGCACTTTGCAGTACGGGATACGGAAAGGGGCCTCCTGGTTCGACTTCATCGACTTCTGTAGTTCTCCTTCCCGTCATGGGTACTGAAAGGGGCCACCTCGCAGTTCTCCTTGCCGTCAGGTCCACGTCAGCAGTTCTCAACTATTTCGCGTACGGGATAGTCGTCGCGCGACGGCTTTATCGTACGCGACATCGGCGTTTACCGAGTGGCATTGGCACAAAGCAGACCGCTGACGGGGTCACGTGTCAAAAAAGTTTCAACAACGTGTCGACCACGTGTGTAGTGGTACACACAGCGGTACACTAATTCTCGTGCCATTCTTGTGTCACAAAACTGGAACATCGAGCACCAGTATGGAAAGGCTTCAGACAGGAAGCCTTTCCAATTAGACACCTAAATAAAGGCGATTATGAATCTAGTCACGTACAGGCCTAAAAGGTCACGTGTCAATAGCATGGATACGACACGTGTGTACGTGTGTACGTGTATGCACTCATGTTATGTGTGTGTGTGTGTGTGTGTGTGTGTGAGGGGGAAGGGGGGGGGGGGCGTGCATTTGCGTGTGTGTGTGTGTGTACGTATGTGTATGTGTATGCACGCATGTGTGTGTGTGCGCACGTGCATGCATGAGTGTACATGTGTAGCAGGTAGCGAGAGTCCTCCGCTGAATGTGGGGTCAAGCCTTCTGATGCTTTAGAGCTGTGAATAGATGCCTCACTCCTGCCCTGTGTGTTGGCATGTATGCGTGTGTGTGTGTGCGCGCGTGTGTGTGTGTGTGTGTGTGTGTGTGTGTGTGTGTGTGTGTGTGTGTGGTACATGGTGTGTGTGTGTGTGTATGTATGCGTGTATGTGTATGTGGCTATGCTTTGCTCTGTGTTCTCTCAGGATGTGCTCTACTTACACAAGCTGAGTGATGGGTCGCGGATCAAGCAGTTTCCCCTCGACGTCGGGTCGGTTGTCTCGTACAGCGGTCGCCGTGAAGACAACTTTGTAAGTTGATCGGCATGTGTGTGTTTGCGGTGAGCAACGCCACTGCTACGTATGGTGCTTGTAACAGGAAGCATACTAGCTCCAGTCGACACTACAAATCAAACTCACTCCTTCTGTACTTACCAAGAACTGAGGGGAAGCCCTCGTCGTGACCAGCTTCATACTGTCAGAATGAATGCAGGGAGTCGTATTCGACTCCCTGCTGTATTCAGAGTACGGTGTAAGAGGTAGAATAAGGATGTGTAGTTGGATGGCAAATGAAGTGTGTTCCTAAAGGTGGATAGTATAGTGTGCAGAGTACTACCTGTTCATGATACAGATCACCATACAGATGTTGGGAATCCCCAAGTAAAATAATAAAATACAACAAACGCAAATACAAAGCATGCATACATGCGGAAGGAGTGTAATTAATTACGAAATGAGAATGGAAAGCCAACGGGAATGGGAGAAGCCGTCTCTAAGACCATTCCTGTCACAGTGCTTCAAACTGATGGCCTGGTGGATGATATGCACCAAGTGTGAAGCGTTTGCCAGCATCCACGGCGTCATCATGCTATAATTATTATTGATCTCTTCCGAGAAAGCTGCAGGCAGATGCCCATGTCATTTACATCTGATCTAGCACAGTAGCACCAGCACCAGTACCGGTGTAGTTATCCCATTCTCCTGACCGTTGCCAAGCAATGCTGAACCATGTTGTGTTTATGCATTAACACTTTTTTTTACATTAAGGACGTCACAAAAGAAAGGACATCCGAGTTTAAACATGTTGTGTTTCAGGTGGCTTTCTGTGTTTAGAAAACATTAGCATGTTCGAATGCATAGTGTGCTCTTCTCTTTGTTGCTGTTGTTGTACATTGCAGATGTTCTACAAGTTCACATCATTCCTGACACCCGGCACCATCTACTACTGTGATCTTAGCCTGGAGACACTGGAACCTAAGGTACTCTCTCTCTCTTTCTCTCTGTCTCTCTCTCTCTATCTCTCTCTCTCTATCTCTCTCTGTCTCTCTCTCTGTCTCTCTGTCTCTGTCTCTCTCTGTCTCTGTCTCTTTCTCTGTCTGTCTCTCTGTCCCTGTCTGTCTCTCTCTGTGTCTCTCTCTGTCTCTCTGTCTGTCTCTCTCTGTCTCTCTCTCTCTCTCTGTCTCTCTCTCTCTGTCTCTCTCTCTGTATCTCTCTGTCTCTCTCTCTGTCTCTCTCTCTGTCTCTCTCTCTGTCTCTCTCTCTGTCTCTGTCTCTGTCTCTGTTTCTCTCTCTCTGTCTCTCTCTCTCTCTCTCTCTCTCTCTCTCTCTCTCTCTCTCTCTCTCTCTCTCTCTCTCTCTCTCTCTCTCTCTCTCTCTCTCTCTCTCTCTCTCTCTCTCTCTCTCTCTCTCAGTCTTTCTTACACAATGTGTAAATAGACTCTGTCGTTTGCAGCTAACTTTCGTTAATTAAGAGCACGCATGCACGCGTGTATGTGTCTGTGCACGTGTGCTTGCATGCGCGTGCATGTGTGTGTGTGGGGGGGGGGTATGTTGTCATTGTATACTGCCGCAGGGTACATATTCAATCAATGGTTTCTCTACACGTACATTACCAACTTGTAATAACCAGTGTCCCTTCCCCATGCGTCAGCTTACCTCTGTACAGTAACTACTTGATGTGAGTATCTACGATCCTCTGCCTCTTACTAATCCCGCGTTGTTTGACTATTTGCAGGTTCATTTGGACACCAAGGTGGCCGGTTTCGAGGCGGACACGTTCGAGGTCAAGCAAGTCTTTTACGAGAGCTACGATCGCACCCGCGTGCCCATGTTCATAATCCACCAAAAGGTTGGTCACCTTAGCTGCACGGTGTCTTTGAGTACAATGTACAGTGTAGTGGCAAGAGCTTGTTAGCCGCCGCCGCAGTGGACGTGATCAGACAAGTCCTGCTGCTCACATAATGATGACTTTGTTAGTTGTTGTTTATCTTTGTTAGGGATTAGTTCAGCCATTGGGGTTCCCTGTAATAAGACGACACCGTCTGTAGGGTTCCCCTATTAAAATAATAAATACTTATTCTACCACTACTACTACTACTAGGCAGTTTGTGGCCTTTGAAAGGAGTAGATATTTACAATTACATGTATTTGACCATGAGTGTGGAAGTGATTTCACGTGCACACATACACGAATAGGTCACTAGTTGGAGGAAATTTGAGATGCGACATTTTATGCAGTCATGTAAATTGTGGCAAGGCTTTTTCTTTGTGCGAGTCTCATCACTGGGACGCAACTAACCGGTCTGTCTGTTCGTCTTTTCATTATTTCGTTACGCACCTATGTACTGTGTGCTACAAGGGCATTTCACTTGATGGTAATCACCCAGTATTGATGTACGGCTATGGCGGCTTCAACATATCGCTCAACCCAAGCTTCAGTGTTTCCAGGCTGCTGTTCTGTCAGCATCTTGGTGGCGTGCTGGCCATTCCGAACCTGCGTGGCGGCGGGTACGTTTTGCTGCTGCTGCTGATGTTGCTGTTGTGTTGCTGCTGCTGTGTGTGTTTGTGTTTGTGTGTGTGTTTGTGTGTGTGTGTGTGTGTGTGTGTGTGTGTGTTCATTAACCCCTGACAAGCGTGACAATTCTGCCCATGAATCTAGGCGTTTAGCTGTCTCACGTTGCCCCAGTTGCTACCAGTATCTTTGTTGTGATCGAATGGCCTTTGCTGCTTTCAAGGCCACTGTATTTCCAGTTGCTTCCTTTGGCTGGCAACGTAGTGTGATTGGTACCTGTTGCTTCTTGTGTGAAGGTGCACTGTTTTCCGCATGTTGTCCTGTATGTTTTTCATCATTTTGTCCTCCGTGTTGTCCTTGTCTGTGTAGGGAGTATGGTGAGACCTGGCACAAGGGCGGCATACATGCCAAGAAGCAGAATGTCTTCGACGACTTCCACTCGGCTGCTGAATACCTGATTGCCAACAAGTACACCAACCCAAAACGGTAATTGCGTACACTTAGTATGAAAGTATACATGTATTGTGTTATCAGCAAGACTGCCTTTGATCATATCCTGGCTGTTACTTATGGTAGGCCAGGGTACTGTCGAGTGCTGCTTCTGGTGTGGCACCCACTTTCATAGAGAGTGCCGTACCATGCAGCAGAGATGTAGCAAACATGCTTGATCAGGCCCAGTTAGTTCTGGTACCGTGTGGCAGTAAGTAGACTCAGCCTCAATTTCCGAAGAAAAAAGGTGTATGGTACGCACTCTTTATATGGTCTTTCTGACTGGCATCACGGTAGTGTTGAATAGAGGTTACAAATTCAACCCATTCGAAAACTCATCTTTCTGTCGGCTTTTGTGTGTGTGTACATGTGTGTGCAGGCTGGCGATCCAAGGCGGTTCCAACGGTGGCTTGCTCGTCGGAGCCTGCATCAATCAGAAGCCATACCTGTATGGTTGCGGCGTTGCTCAGGTCGGGTAAGTGCCATGTTGTCTGGTGGTGACTATTGAGCATGGTGATTTGGCCGGGCTGCCGAGTCCGTAGAGGTCTGTTTAGCAGCAGGAGCTTGTCGTATGTACCGGTATTCAAGCCTTATTGTTATCCCTCTTTCTTCTCTTTGTTTGCAGTGTTATGGACATGCTTCGTTTTCACAAATTCACCATCGGTCATGCATGGTAAGTCTGAAGAGCAGCGCACTGTGGTTACTAGAACATGCACACACACGTACACACACGTACGCCGGTAGAAATTCGAGAAATGCATTGGTATGTTGCACATAGATAGTCTTTTGTTGCTCCACAGTAGACAGGAGAGGAAAAGCCCATCGTTGCCTTGAGTTCATGTAGGGGTGAAACGATCACTGAACATTGATTATTGATTACCTACTTGTATACTTCGTTAACAACTGAGCTGCCGGCCACAGCGGCAGGCAACAGCGCTAAGCAGCGTGCTCAAGCTGACTTTCATGCCATGGAATGTCTCAGTACTCCTTGTCAGTTTTGTGCTACAGTCCGTTTCAAAAAGATTTACAATCCTGGCGATCGCCCGCGGAGTTTGGCGTCTTACCGTATGAGCACTCGAGCGCTGCCTGGAAAAACTCACTGTGAACTCGAAGAAATATTCCGCGCGAAAGCAGGAAAAATGACAACTCACTCACGTTGACACAGTCATGTACGTCTGGTTTACAACAAACGAGTTCTTCCTCGTATCGATCAGGGAGTAGTACAATACTCCCTACAATACTCCCTGGTACATGGTATCGATAATGGAGTCAGAGAGGACATGTCGAAACGAAAGTGTTGTAAATGTTGACGAGCTGCATGGGTCCGTTTTGTGACCAAAATAGTTTCTTTGAGCTGCGATGCAATTTACTCACCGTGTGACGAAAACGACATCGACACGGACTCATTCCCAAGGCCATGACTTGGCAAAGCTATCCGTGTGACTTCGACGACATTTTGAGAAAAGCAGACACTTGTGAACGCTGATAGAAGACGGCGTTGACTGCTAAATTCAAATAAATTGGCGATCTTGAAATACTAAAATAAATCTCAAAAAGCTACAGCGCGATGACTTCCATTATAATTCACTCACACCATTGCAGTGTTGTGGGTGTGTTCACATGGCGTGAGCCAGTCAAGTGTCAGTCAGTTCGGCAGGAAGCGCGAGCTCCAACAACAAGTCGTTTGGTGCAGCCATCTTCTTTGTCTTGTACCAGCTTGATCACCAAAACAATGAAAAAAAAGTTTGACTTGAGGATAGGTTGGGATTTGAACTCACAACTTCATGGTCAGCAGACAGCATTCATAACCACAAGGCCAAAAAGGAAAGGATAAATCGTGGGTTTTGATAAAAAATCGATACTGGCTTCCTGGGCAAATTGTAAACCATGGGAAAAGGCTGGAAACCTGGCCGAAATTCTAACTCCTTAACGGTTGGTCCAATTGTTCCGAAACCTTCACAGAACAATTTGCCGTGTCCTAACAAGCCATTCTATGTACTTTGTTGTCCAAATTTCCCTTATCTTCATACTTTTTAAGACCCAAACCTGATTGTAAATCTTTTTGAAACAGACTATAGATTGTGCTCGTCTGACTGTTCAAAATCTGGTTTAGTTAGTGGACAATGCGCATAAACTTTGCCCACATTTTTTCGTGTTACAATTTTTTCCTTGACTCAGATTCTAAGTGTCCTAAGTGACAAGTAGTTAGCATGATTGCTTCACCCCTAGAACTTTCATGTTTGGCCACCATCGAACAACACAGGAGCGTGACATTGAGAGCAGCAACAAAAGATTTCTCTGTCCTATATCTCTCTATATCCTCTCTCTCTCTCTCTCTCTCTCTCTCTCTCTCTCTCTCTCTCTCTCTCTCTCTCTCTCTCTCTCTCTCTCTCTCGCTCTCTCGCTCTCTCGCTCTCTCTCTTTCTCTCCCTCTCTCTCTCTCTCTCCCCTGTTGTATTGCGCGCCACAGGTGTAGTGACTATGGCTGCTCCGACTCAGAAGAGGATTTCCACTGGCTGGTTCGCTACTCCCCTCTTCACACAATCAAGAAGCCGCTTATACCCGGTGTGCAGTTCCCCAGCATGCTGTTGTTTACTGGTGATCATGATGATCGCGTGGTGCCACTGCACTCTCTCAAGTACATCGCTACATTGCAACATGAACTGGCTGGTCATCCGGACCAGGTGGGTTGTGATTCTGCTTGGGGATGTGTATGTGTGCGTGTGTGTGTGTGTGTGTGTGTGTGTGTGTGTGTGTGTGTGTGTGTGTGTCTCTCTCTCTCTCTCTCTCTCTCTCTCTCTCTCTCTCTCTCTCTCTCTCCTGCCACTGTCTTTCCTCTCCAAATAAAGCATGGTGTTTGTGTGGTAGGCAGCGTTTACCTCTTTGCTCGATATGCCATCCATCAGTCCTTGGACTTCACCAAGTTTCTCGTCATTTATTCTCTGTTTCTGTTTTCCTCATCCATTTTGTTCACTATCCAGACCAACCCCCTGATGATCCGTGTACATTGCAAGCAGGGGCATGGCGCTGGGAAACCAACTGAGAAAGTTGTGAGTATTCCACGATGATTCATTGTCACTGCAATGGTTATGCTGAATATCATTTGGAATGATCTAGAAGTATCTCGTACAATGTTGGAACGCTAGATCCACGGCCATATCTCAACACGACTGTAGTAGATACAGGGCAAAACAGGGAGAGACAAGCATGTGGGTCAGTAGCTTTTTAGTTGTTTTTGGCACTTAGGGGTCGTCCGTATTTTTCGAAAAATTAAAAAATCCGTCCTCAGGCAAAAAGAGGGTGGGTGGTCAAGAGTGCTGGCGGAATTTAATTTTTTGATTTTTCGAACTATCTTTTTTTTTTTTTTTTTTTTTTTGCTCCAGTGACTTTCATACACTTGTTGCACTGATATACTGTACCGTATTTTCCGGAGTATAGTGCGCACTTTAGATGAACTATTTTAGGCCCTAAATCGCAGGTGCGCACTATGCTCCGAATATGAAATGTATGTACTTCAATGAAGATTGAATTGCGCAACCCCAATGAAGATTGGGGGTGCGCGTTATACAAAGGTGCGCACTATACTCCGGAAAATACGGTAGGTATAGCTGACTGTGTACTGTACTGTAGACGTAGTGTAGGATCGATTGTCGCAAACACCAGTATCTACTATATGACTTTTCATGTAGTTGAAGGACGGTGCATGGCCGTGACGTCGGTAGACCTACTACTCATTGTACTTACTTCGAAGTAGCTACTAGTACTTGACACAGGTGCAGTCAGAAAACAGGACTTCTTATTTTCGAGCCGGGCATCGGTAAAAATCAAAAAATTGATGGGAAAAATGGGGGGTGGGTGGGTCAGAGACAATTTTGCACGAGGACGGATTTTTTTTAATTTTTCGAAAATTACGGACGACCCCTTACGCGTAAAGTGCCTGCAGGATGACGCAACGACCACTAAAGTTTTCATTGCTTTGTTCTCGTCTCCATGCTACACACTGCATGTCATAATGTAAATCCGAATCAGAACACTGTGGCTCTAATCAAGTTTGCAAGTGTAAGCAGATTCTGAAAAGGTACTGGAAAGCAGGAAGCATTTGCTACGTGTGGATCTATTGGATTTTCCAAAAGTTGCACAGGCCCATCACAAACGAAGGTAACGGTTTTTTTTCTCTTCAATTGAGCCATGTAGTGTCCACAGTCACTGCACAGGACAGGGGCGCTCCACAAACGTGTCCATGAGGTCGGATGTCACACGCCGCAGCTGTAGTTGCCGCTCACTGCGTTGATGCCCCACTGAAACTTACTGCCAACAAACCAGTATTGCATATTCTCGCTCCACATAATTATACTGGCATACATTGAGAACTTCGTAGAGATCTACATCTGCATCGTGCATAGGGTAGACATAGACAACAATAGCAGCACACAACTTGAAGGGTAAGTTAGTTGGCCGCAGCCAGATGTGAACCGGATAACGAGAGAAGTCTGGAAGCCAGGACTGAGAGCAGGATGTTCCAAGTGAAAACAGGTGTGCATGCAAATGGGGAGAATAGGCCACGGTGCAGAATCACTCGAGACCGATAGATTAATTTGCCTGGGCCCAACCAGCCGGGGAAAAAACCCTCGCGCCGACGGACGCAGTAGTGAGGGAAAAAACCGGGTGCAAATCCCCAATGGCGATTTGGCATCATGGAAGCATGGCAAAGCACATCATAGCAAAAACTGCCAAAGAGTTAGAAATGGCAAGATCAAGGTAATGTTGAGTCACCGCCACCATAACGCTGCGCTCTGTAATAATAAGATCAAGGTACACGGAAATGAAGGGTGGGAGGGCAGGGACACTGATGAGACTCGAAACAGACTGAAGAAATCAGGGAAAGGAACAACGATAAAGAACACACCAGATACCATATTTGCAAACGAAGAATGTGGCGCGAGAAATCATTTCTCACCCGTCTCGCTGCGCTCGGCCGGCGAGGAATACAGCATGCTTGTGTTCGTCGCTTAATTATTTTGTTTGTTTTTGCCTGCAGCTGGAGGAGAGTGCGGAGATGTATTCCTTCATTGCTCGCAGCCTGGGTGTTGAATGGCGTGACTGACTACAGGCATCAACTCTGTTATCTCGACTCTAACACCCATACAAGTCATAGTCAAACGTCTCGATTACAGTACGATGCCCGCAAGCATTCCTTTGTCTATTTTTATTTGTACAGAATCGACGAGGACACAACAGTTTAGATAATGCAATGAATAAGATGAGCTGCACAATCATCACTGGTACACACACGTGTGTGTGTACGCGCGCACGTGTACGTGCACGCACACATACATACACACACACACACACACACACACACACACACACACACACACACACACACACACACACACACACACCCTTGTAAGGAATATTTTGGTATCCAAGAATATTTTCTTATGATATCTTCTTTTTTAGCTGCACATGTACATATACCTTACTAGTACTTCAGTAATAACTCATACATAGCCAAGACATAGGATTGGAGAGCTTCAAATTCAATTCAAATAGTCAGGGAAGTGGACTGCCAGAGAAAAAACATGCACAATTACAACTGTGCTTGTTTGAACTTGGATGGTGGACCCATTGTATTATGACATTGCTGCTACTTCTTCTCAACATTGTAGTTTAGTAACTTATTGCATCACATTTTCTAAGGGACTTTCAAGTAGATGTTCAAGGGCTTTCTAATGTGTACTTTTAGGCATTTTAGCATTTTCATCATGTTTTCTACTCCTTATATGATGTGATTCATTATACATCTGAATATCTTGACAATGATCTCCAGACAGAAATCACAGAGTTTGATTGAGCGAGGCGACCAATTCAAGCCGTAATAAGTTATGGTGCACCACTGCCACCAGCATGCAGTTCCCATGCAGGTGCACTGTAACCATGGTAACTGATGCAGCACTGGGTTTGTGCTACCTTGTGCTCTCCAGTGACAGCCTGTGCTCAGTGTGCTGGCCTGGTGCTGGTCGCATGACGTCACTCCACCATGCATGGCACGTTCTGTAGTACATGGTACTGCTAGCTGCAATGCCAATGCCGCGGCAATTGCAATGTTTGCTTGCAGTTGTGCAAGGCACGCATGAGCCCAGCACTACATGATATGACTGGCTATTCATTGGCAGTGTTGCTCACTCAGAATCAGGCCACATGACAAGTACTCCTGCTGCTCGAACGGACGGATTGTTTTCCGGGGCGCTGGACTCGGACGAGTCAAAACGACACCTTGCAACATGACACGTGACCGCGCCGTAACAGCCTCCACTCCCGGCCTGGCTGCCACTGTACAGTCTGACACGGAGATCTCCTGCTCATGGTCACTGTCATCACAGGTTGACAGCTCTGACTCAGCCTCCGTGTCCGAGGGAGAGGGATTTGGGGCAGGCGTGGCATGCACTACAGTCATGTTTATTACTAGCGACAACACACAAGTCTGGAGCTGAGAGGGGAGGCATATCCACACAAGTTAAAGACCTGGGTCGGGGATTAGAAGCGGAAAGTCGATCTCCAGCATTCATTGTCATAGTTTTAAAAGGTTAACGCCTTTCAAGATGACCATTCTGATAAGGTGACCACTTGTCCATGTGCATGAAGACCACACGTAAGGGGGGGGGGGGGGGTATCAATTCCAATCGTTTGACCCCGGGTGAGGAGACCACTGCAAATGATCATGATGATGTATAGGGGTAAGCGGATTATGCTCGGAAAATGACCACATTATGCTCTAGCGGATGCTCGCAGGATGCTTGAGAAAACAGCCCATTATGCTTTTATATAAAAATAAAAAAAAGTAAATTATCGTGTCCGTTCCCGAAGCTAGCGAAGGGAACTCACGACGGCCGCTAACACCCGGTAAACCCTATGCTTTTATATGCTTCACCAAAAAGACCAAAAGAACAATTATTATCATCATGAAAAAAGGACTCAGACCATTGTCATAATGTGGACTGGGAGCTTTGTGGAAGTACAAGACAATGATATCCAAGAGGAAAACCAAATTCACAAGCAAACCCTGAACTTTTGGAAGATGTCCTATAGTGGCTGCTAAAATATTATTCCAAATCAGCAAGAAGCGCTATGTATGGTCCTTCAATAGCAGGTGTGTATATGACAGCCTCAATGGGCATCTGTCCTTGTTTTTCGGATGCCATTTTATGCTCCTTCTCACAAAGGACCTGATTGTTTAAAATTATGCCGGCATAATCCGATTACTCCTGTATGCTCCGTCTCAAATAGGACCTGATTATGCCGGCATAATCCACTTACCCCTAATGATGGTCATGTCAGGTCATTAGACATGGTTAGCATTTTACTGTTCACGCGCTAGATCCAACGGTACTCATACCCAACACCCAAAATACCGTCAGTTTGGTACCGTTTCGACGATAGAAAGCTCTGTTTTGCGGGAGAACGAAACGGTAAGATTCCAACTAGGGTTACGTCACAAGTCTATCGTTGCGTCAGGAGTGAGGACTCAGAAGCCGAACTGCTGACCATGTCTCAAAATCACACAAAAAAACAGTAGACTCGCCCTCGTACACGCCGACCGTCGAAAATAGCGTGAACGGTAAAATGCTAACCATGTCTATTGTATTTCCGGTGAGGGGGGGGGGGGGATATGAGGCAGTGGCAGGCTGGCAGTGTGGGTGGTCGGCCAGACCAGTGTGTTATGTTTGCATGTTGAGGATACCCGCTCCTACTCCTCACCCAGCATGCCAGCACTTCAGTCTTCAGCAGTATGCCCAACCCTACCCTAGGCCTAGGCCCTGCTGTCCCTGACGACCTGAGTCATGACAGCAAGCAAAGCGCTAGCGGGCAACATCCCACTCCCAGTACGCCAGGCGATGAGCGGCGACATCGGGGACAACCTAGTGCCTACGACTAGGACTAAGACAGCAAGAGGCAGGATCGGGGATCTCACTCTCAGGAATTTGAATATTATGATCTTGTAACAACTCACTAGCCTCATTCAAACGATGCCCGACACCCATGGGCACTGTAGACTTACTATTCGATTCGGCATTCTTGAAAGGCTTGCAACACCCGGGACGTTTTCATTTCAAACTCCGGACGGGCTGTTGTGATTCTCTCCTTGGTGTTATTCAGTAGCCGAAGACTGCTGCAGTCTATTCGTCAACGAATCTGAGCAGTCCATTCAGCACGGACGTAGCTTCAACACGTCTAATCTCCTTCAGGACCACAAGAACATCTAACGATCGGGGGAAACAAACGTCCGTACTGAAGAGATCTATTTTGAAGTTCGCCGATCATTGTAGACGTTGGGCCGTCTCGCAGATCGGTGTAGAGATTTCATGCCAACATTGACGGAAGCGTTACCCAACAAACTGCACGCTTGCAAGTGACCCGTTGAAGGGCGGTTTCGTGCACCTGCAGAATGAGCAACGCTGGCCAGACGAACTCCAACCGCCCCCTCATCGGCAATGGGATGAACGGTAACCTCCTGCACCCAGCAGCACACAGCACGTCGTCACTGTCGGCCTTCATTGATGACACTGTGGCGAGTGGGAGACGGGACTTGGACGATGTGGACGGAGCACGGTCGCGATACCGACACAGAGCGCACGGAGCTGGCGGGGACCGGTCGAGATTTGAACGATTCGCTTGCGACGAATCGGGCATGCACGCGATGCCGATGATTGGCAATCCGAAGAGTCCAATCTTTCGTCGCATTATCTGGTTGCTGCTGGTGTTGGCTGCAGCTGGTATACTGACGTACATGATCCAGGATCGCGTGGGGAAATACCGACGGTTCGAGACCACCACCAACGTGGTGCTGAAGTACGAGAAGAACCTGTCCTTTCCAGCGGTGACGGTTTGCAACTTCAACCCGTTCTACCAATCGCTGGTGAACGACACGATTGACTTCGCTGTACTCAGCTTGATCCGCTCAAATCTTGTTGATAGCAGTGTGCGTGAGCTTGGCCGTGCTACAGCACGTACTATACCCAGGGATGAAATTCGGCAGAGACCCAGTGACAACACTAGGAATACTGGCGGGCCGCTAGCACAAAATTCGCCAGCACTTGGAGGTGATGCACAGCAGCGAAATCGGAGACAGGCCGCGACCGGCCGTGCGCCCACAGCGGCGACCACCAAGAAGGCCTCTGTCACCACCAAACAGGCAACAGCTGCAGCGACCACAGTCAAGCAAGCCACGTCCAAGGCCACTACGAAGTCACCCGGTACCGCTGGCAAGACAACAAAGCCTCGGAATGCCGGTGCTGCAAGTGCAACCACTGCAGCTGCCGCGGTCACGTCACGAGCAGCAGCAGCAGCAACAACTCGGGCAAAAGCCACAGGCAGGCAAACAGATGCCTCGACGCAAGGGCAAGGTAGATCTACACCGACACCCATACCCACACAGCAGCAGCAGCAGCAGCAACAAAGTACACCGCGGGCTACACGCAACGGAAATCAGGCAGCAACTGCAAGCCCAGGTCAAGGCCAGGGTCAGCAACAAGGTGGTCAAGGTCAAGGTCAGGGAGGTCAGCAGCAACAGGGTTCAGATGGCCAGCAAAGCAGACTGTCATCAGAACTGAGACAAATACTGCAGAACGAGTCGGCGCTCGTCTCACTGCTGGAACCCGTTGACGTGGGCCAGTACACGCTAGAGAAAGGCATGCAGCTTGATAGGCTGCTAGAAAGCTGCACATTTCGAGGCACAGAGTGCAATGCCAGCGACTTCCAGCACGTATTCACGACATTCGGCAGCTGCTACACGTTCAATCCGGATGAAACGCGGCAAGTGTCCCAGGCCGGTCAAGGACACGGTCTGGACCTGATTCTGAACATTGAAGAGGACGAGTACATCAGCGGCGTGGACCAGAGTGTCGGTGTGCGTGTGCTGCTCCACTCCAGCGGAGAGTCACCGCACACCACTGTGGACTCGCTGGGCTTTGCCGCCGCTCCGGGAGAGACAACACTGGTCGGTATTTCGCGCAGACAGGTAAGACTTTAAAACAGGCATGCATGGCTAACACGCTCTGTACGTCTGCATAAGTTAGTATGTTCAAACTAGGTTCCAACGTCCTAGAACACTGCAAACAAAATGATGGACCCAGTTTGATTCCCGGTGGTGTCAGTCAATTATTTAGTTCATGTATGTTCTTCTAGATGGCGGATATATTTCGGAAAATTATCGGCTATGAGATATCCATGTACTGCATACTAGCGGGATTACATGCAATATTACCGCTACTTTTCTAATGCATACATGTACACCGGCATAGGTTCCATTACTACTTACTTGCAAGCCTCTCTGAACTGGGGCCAAGGCTGCTTGACGGCTGCCAGCAGTCATATACATGTAGATCTACACCATCATGTAAGCATTAGAGTGTTGGCGGCGTGCCCGCCTGCTGATCATGCTGTGTCCTCGCTACAGGTGACCAACCTGGATCGGCCGTACAACGCCAATGGCTGCCGGAGCAACACCGGCGAAGACAAGCTGAAGTACTTTGACCAGTACACCCTGTCCAACTGCGCGCTGGAGTGCTTCGCAGACCTGTCCGAGCTGGTGTGCGGATGCCGCGCGCCCTACATGCCATGTACGTAGACCGCTGGGAAGCACTGAATGGCTACTGTACCGTACTGTATACATCGTGTCTTTTGTATCTACTATCCACAGGCATGCAAGGAAATGTGCTGCGTTCATGCACCCTGTGACTTGTCAGAATACAAAATAGTGAAAATACTGTCAAACGACGAACACAATCATGATGGTCAGCTGACCTGTGACTCATGAACATGCTTACCACCAAGAGTACTATACATGAAAGGGGGTCACTTTAGTTATGTACTCTTGGTACATGTACTACAGATCAGAGATCAGTCACAGTATTGCAAAGCGGCCTACTATAGTATTGCCCTGCGTGAACTCAAGT